ATTACATATATTATGTGATTAATCGTGATTAATTACAAAAAAAAGAGAAGGATAGATTTTTTTTTTTTATTGATTGACAACACTAATATATACATTGGTGTGCAAAAGTGTTTGCCCCCTTCCTGTTTTTTAAATTTTTGCATATTTGTCAAACTTAAGATTCAGATCATCAAACTAATTTTAATATTACACAAAGATTATGCAGGCCATTAAGCTCTAATTATAAGTTATACTAAGGTTACGTGATGAGAGTTTGTGGGTTGTGGGGAATTGTGGGTAATGCACCTTGTTGCTGGTCTCGCTCTCGTGGATCTGGTTCTGCAGAGACTCGAGCTGAAGCTGCGCTTGCTGCAGTTCATTCACACACTGTCCAGCGGTGCGTTCGTACTGATGTGAATGCTGCTCTTCTATCAGACTCTAAAAGACAATAAACATCAAACCAAACATCAAACCATTTTAATGTACAACAGGAGAAATGAATATCATACTATTGAAACCTGTCATATTTATTGTATAAAGCATTAGGAAAAATAAGCCCTGATTTTATTTGCTTCTAATCTCAGCCAATTGACACAGACACTGAATAAATAACACCAATTCTGATCAATGAATTTAATCAAATGTGTGTTGAAATCCATGTTAGAGAAAACCTGTCAGTAAATGATCCTAATCAGGTTTAAATGCTGCTGGACTGCATTTCATCTCACTGCGTTTGTTCTGAAGCATCTGAGGTGCTTTAACTGAGGTACATTGAGGTCAGATGTCGCTGTTGTATGTGTGTGAGAGTGTGTGTGAATGTGTGTGTGTGTGCGCGCGTGTGAGAGAGTGTGTGTGTGTGTGTGAGAGAGACAGAGAGAGAGAGTCTGTGAGTGTGAGAGTGTACGTGTGTGTGTGTGAGCCTGTGAGAGTGTGTGTGTTTGTGAGAGACAGACAGAGAGAGTCTGTGTGTGGGTGTGTGTGTGTGTGTGTGAGAGTGAGTGAGTGAGAGACAGAGAGAGAGAGAGTCCGTGTGTGTATGAGCCTGTGAGTGTGTGTGTGTGTGTGTGTGTGTGTGTGTGAGTGAGCGAGTGAGAGAGAGACCGAGAGAGAGAGTCCGTGTGTGTATGAGCTTGTGAGTGTGTGTGTGTGTTGCCTTGGGGGTTTTGTGAGAGAACTAGGCCAATGGTGGTGCCATGTTCTCCATGTTAACCTATTTAACTGAAATGGCTATCATTGGGTTAACAGAGGAGATTTCAGTGAGAACTACAGAGTATAACAGAGACGTGAGAAGACAAAACATCACTGATCAGATGATGGTACGGCTCTAACACTGACTTCATTCATCAGCTCTTACAGTGCTGATATCCAGCTGGAACAGTCTGAGATTTGAGGGTCTAAAATGAATCGAGAGGTTTGTGTTGGTTCATGTTCAGGTTTTGTTTAAAAGCAGATCATGTGCTGAAACCAAATTACAGAATATTAACCGAATGCCCTCAAACACAATCTGCAGACGATATTTCAGCTTGATGCTTTCAAACTATTTTTTACTTCAGCGATTCAATGCCACAACTGTATATCATACAAAAGCAACACCAGAAATGTTAAAATGTATTAAAATTACCATGAACCTCACAGACAAAATATGCAAAATGAGCAACATGACAAAAAGAGAACGGGACATTCGTGTTTGTAAACGGCTACATGTACTAAACACACGACGCAGGTGGAGTATCATCTGAACGCATCCATTTCTCTGACCCAGGGATAGATTACTGACCGGGCCAATGGGGCCAGTGCCCAGGGGCCCTTGACTGCCAGGAGCCCGGGGGGGCCCTGGGCTTCAAGATTGTGCCATCCAGTTTGGTACAGGAAACCCAACAATGAAAACAAATGTTTATTTATGTTTAATATATGGGTCCCATATGACCTAAGTCCTCTTAGACAAGGATCTTCATCTAGTGGGAGGGCTCCCTGGCACTCCTGTTACTATAGGGCCCTGTGAATATATGAATCCCTGCAAAGTGCAGTCCTCTTATAGAACCATTGTTCCATCCTGTTTCAAATCATATTTATTTGAACCAATATTTGATCTTCCTTCTTTTGTGTGAAGGCTATCAGAAAAAGTACCATTTAGCAGGATGCGAAAGAGATTTATTGCCAAGTATTTTTGAACACACAGGGGATTTGTTTTTGGTGAGAGAAGAAGACTCCATTGCACAGATATACGCTCTTAAAAATAAAGGTGCTTAAAAGGATCTTCACAGCGATGCCATAGAAGAAACCATTCTGGTTCCACAAAGAAGCATTCAGTCAAAGGTTCTTTAAAGAACATCTCTTTCTTACCTTTTTATAATCTGAAGAACCTTCTTTCACCACAAAGAAGCGTTTGTGAAACAGAAAGGTTCTTCAGATGTTAAATCTTCTTTATGGAACCATTTAGACAAAAAAGGTTCGGCCCCACTTTATATTAAGTGGCCTTAACTACTATGTACTTACATTTAAATTAATCATTTGATACAATGCACTTATAGTGTACATAGCCTACATGTTTTTACATTGTACTTATATTTTTAAAAATACCTATATGTAGTTACTTCTGTTATTAATTTCTGTAATTACATTTATAATTACACAGTTGACCCATCCCTTACACTTTAACCCACCCTTAAACCTACCCATACCACCAAACCTGTCCCTAACCTCACCCGTATCCCACCTCAATAGCAGCAAACATGTTTTGCAATACAATATGACCACAATAAGTACAATGTACTTATTTTTTTATGTAAGTACAGTAGTTAAGGCCACCTAATATAATCATGCATGCCTGAAAGAAAGAAAGAAAGAAAGAAAATGGCACAGAGAGAGAGAGCAATAGAGTTTTAGCATGGTTAAGATTTTAAAATGTAACTTTCAAAACTTATACACTTTAATACAGTTTGTTGAATGTCTATAAAAGACCCTCCTTCAAAGATAAAAGCATAGTCATTTAAGTAGTGTGTATATTTGAAATTACAGATATCCTTTTTTTAATGGTCCAATCAGATTTGAAATGAGGCTCAAACATCTATTAACAAACGTGCGTTTTTATTTCCGTCAGTGAACACGCAGCCTACAAAACTCTAAAATAAGTAACAAATAAATAATAGTTAAATAAGAATAAGAATATTAAATATTAAACAAACATTTGTTGCAAAAATCGTAACAACCTAGCTGGGCCTTTGCCCGACAGCTTCTCAGAATTACTAGCCCGAGTCCGACTGGAACCCGTGTCTTTTCTCGCTCTCTCTTCCCCATTACACAGCTGCTGATGCAGCCATTAAAAGTGGTTATATTTCTTTATAAAGTTAATTTAGGAATATGTTTGGAACATTTTTTGTTTGTTAAATTCAAGTTTTGTTTTTTTTCAAGCGGCCAGCGGGACAGTGATCTTATGTTTGATCAATTTAACCTTCTCAAATCATCACGACCTAAAATAAAATCTTCAAGCATATCACAATGTTAGTGTAAATGTTTAACCTAGATAAATGTGATCATGGGGTTAACAGAGGAGATTTCAGTGAGAACTACAGAGTATAACAGAGACGTGAGAAGACAAAACATCACTGATCAGATGATGGTACGGCTCTAACACTGACTTCATTCATCAGCTCTTACAGTGCTGATATCCAGCTGGAACAGTCTGAGATTTGAGGGTCTAAAATGAATCGAGAGGTTTGTGTTGGTTCATGTTCAGGTTTTGTTTAAAAGCAGATCATGTGCTGAAACCAAATTACAGAATATTAACCGAATGCCCTCAAACACAATCTGCAGACGATATTTCAGCTTGATGCTTTCAAACTATTTTTTACTTCAGCGATTCAATGCCACAACTGTATATCATACAAAAGCAACACCAGAAATGTTAAAATGTATTAAAATTACCATGAACCTCACAGACAAAATATGCAAAATGAGCAACATGACAAAAAGAGAACGGGACATTCGTGTTTGTAAACGGCTACATGTACTAAACACACGACGCAGGTGGAGTATCATCTGAACGCATCCATTTCTCTGACCCAGGGATAGATTACTGACCGGGCCAATGGGGCCAGTGCCCAGGGGCCCTTGACTGCCAGGAGCCCGGGGGGGCCCTGGGCTTCAAGATTGTGCCATCCAGTTTGGTACAGGAAACCCAACAATGAAAACAAATGTTTATTTATGTTTAATATATGGGTCCCATATGACCTAAGTCCTCTTAGACAAGGATCTTCATCTAGTGGGAGGGCTCCCTGGCACTCCTGTTACTATAGGGCCCTGTGAATATATGAATCCCTGCAAAGTGCAGTCCTCTTATAGAACCATTGTTCCATCCTGTTTCAAATCATATTTATTTGAACCAATATTTGATCTTCCTTCTTTTGTGTGAAGGCTATCAGAAAAAGTACCATTTAGCAGGATGCGAAAGAGATTTATTGCCAAGTATTTTTGAACACACAGGGGATTTGTTTTTGGTGAGAGAAGAAGACTCCATTGCACAGATATACGCTCTTAAAAATAAAGGTGCTTAAAAGGATCTTCACAGCGATGCCATAGAAGAAACCATTCTGGTTCCACAAAGAAGCATTCAGTCAAAGGTTCTTTAAAGAACCATCTCTTTCTTACCTTTTTATAATCTGAAGAACCTTCTTTCACCACAAAGAAGCGTTTGTGAAACAGAAAGGTTCTTCAGATGTTAAATCTTCTTTATGGAACCATTTAGACAAAAAAGGTTCGGCCCCACTTTATATTAAGTGGCCTTAACTACTATGTACTTACATTTAAATTAATCATTTGATACAATGCACTTATAGTGTACATAGCCTACATGTTTTTACATTGTACTTATATTTTTAAAAATACCTATATGTAGTTACTTCTGTTATTAATTTCTGTAATTACATTTATAATTACACAGTTGACCCATCCCTTACACTTTAACCCACCCTTAAACCTACCCATACCACCAAACCTGTCCCTAACCTCACCCGTATCCCACCTCAATAGCAGCAAACATGTTTTGCAATACAATATGACCACAATAAGTACAATGTACTTATTTTTTTATGTAAGTACAGTAGTTAAGGCCACCTAATATAATCATGCATGCCTGAAAGAAAGAAAGAAAGAAAGAAAATGGCACAGAGAGAGAGAGCAATAGAGTTTTAGCATGGTTACGATTTTAAAATGTAACTTTCAAAACTTATACACTTTAATACAGTTTGTTGAATGTCTATAAAAGACCCTCCTTCAAAGATAAAAGCATAGTCATTTAAGTAGTGTGTATATTTGAAATTACAGATATCCTTTTTTTAATGGTCCAATCAGATTTGAAATGAGGCTCAAACATCTATTAACAAACGTGCGTTTTTATTTCCGTCAGTGAACACGCAGCCTACAAAACTCTAAAATAAGTAACAAATAAATAATAGTTAAATAAGAATAAGAATATTAAATATTAAACAAACATTTGTTGCAAAAATCGTAACAACCTAGCTGGGCCTTTGCCCGACAGCTTCTCAGAATTACTAGCCCGAGTCCGACTGGAACCCGTGTCTTTTCTCGCTCTCTCTTCCCCATTACACAGCTGCTGATGCAGCCATTAAAAGTGGTTATATTTCTTTATAAAGTTAATTTAGGAATATGTTTGGAACATTTTTTGTTTGTTAAATTCAAGTTTTGTTTTTTTTCAAGCGGCCAGCGGGACAGTGATCTTATGTTTGATCAATTTAACCTTCTCAAATCATCACGACCTAAAATAAAATCTTCAAGCATATCACAATGTTAGTGTAAATGTTTAATCTAGATAAATGTGCGCTATTAGGCGTATATCCAATTGTTTGTGTGAAGAGTGGAAAATAAAGCGCGCTTTGCAGCACATGGAAGCGACAGCGCGATCACTTGCAATACGCCGTCAATTGTGCTCATAAAGGTAAGAGAGAGTAATATAACATCCGGAACGGTAAAGGGTCTACTTCTATTTGTGTGCACTCACACTATCAACAAAACCTTGTGCTTTTGTAAAATAAGGAAAACAAACAGGATGCGCTTACTGACGTCAGGAGCGCTTCACAAAAATTAACCGAAACTCAGCGAATACTTGCCTCAAAGACATGATATATCTATAGAAAGCTTTAAATGATTACTTTACTTATTACTTTAAAACAAAATAGTTCAAATTGAAAACAAAAACTCTTTCTTTATGTAGGCTAATCCATAAAGATGTATTTCTCTCTAAAGGCGTGTCCAATGAAGAAATGCCGTGTCAGGATCGCCAACTTCATCTTTGTGACTCAGAAAACACTAGTTTATTAACAATTAATTAAAATATCTCCTTACTATTTCCCCCCTATACATTCATGGTAATCACTTTTGTTGGGGCTTTGCGGCAAGCTTTAGCCTATTGTGTGCACTTGAACAATTTCGCTCGCTGCTGCTGCTGGCGGGGACACTAAACACCGCCACGACAGAATGAATGTAGCGGAAACTGTATTTTTTGCTTGTTCGAGTGTGTGATGTCACGTGGTGCTGCACTACTGCCGGTGGCAGTGTCGCGGTTCTCATTGCGACCGTCACAGCCCTATTTCCAGTTGTACTGTGAATGCGCTGCTAAGGGAAAGAATGGGAAAATGGTGGGAGGGGGGCCCTTGGAGGTAACTGGCCCCGGGGCCTTTTGAAGTCATAATCCGTCCCTGCTCTGACTAGTGAATAGGGATCTGACTGTCCTATTAGTGGCGCTTCACCTGTGGGCCTCTCCGGAGACGGAAGGGCAGGTACTCATCCTGCACCTGCTGACACAGCTCCTCCAGACGGGCCAGCTCCGGATCCGGATCCAGCTGGACTCTGGGCGGCTCTGGCTCCACCAGCATGTGGTTTGCTCCGTCAAACAGGTTCTCCTGGTCTGGACTGTCCAGTTTAGCTCCTCCATTAAAACACCCAGGATTCATCAGAACAGGCAGTTTGCTTCCCTGTGGACTCTGGACGGGTCTGTACACACAGTCCTGAAGCAGCGACAGATCCAGAGCGAGTCTTGCTGGAGGAGCATCAGATGCATCGTCGCAGCTTCGGTCGTCACGCTGGGGAACTTTGACGGGTGAAGCACCGCGGCTTTTATCCAGTGACTCCAGTGATCCGCCGGAGCTCCTGCGGTCTCGGAGCGTGCGCCCACCGTCTGACGAGCGTGATGCCGTGCGCTGCGTCTCGGGCACCAGTGTGTCTGAAGTCTGTTCCTCCTCGCACATGCTTCCGATGCCGCTGGCCGAGTAACGTGTGGACGGGCCGCAGGAAAGGCTCCTCGCCAGCTTCCTGGGCACCTTACACACGGCCTCGTAGTCAGAGTCGGGCACACGCAATGCCCTGCAGACCCTGCACCTGCGCGAGCGATGCCAACACGAGGAAACCTCCGACGCGTGGCAACACTCCAACACCTGCTCCGCGTCTTCCGCCCAGGACTCGTACATGCAGTACATCAGGTCCTCCTGCAGCAGGGTGAAGTACTCGGACACGTCCACCGCACACGAGGCCTCCGTCGCCCCCCATGTCTCCTGCCCATTGTTTTTGTTATAAAGCGCAGTGATGCACTGGCGCAGACGCTCTTTCTCCTGCAGGAGTCTGCGCAGCCGCTCGAGGGACAGCGCCTGCACGCGCGCGATCACCGTGTCGAAGCGGAACATGCGGTCCAGCATGAAGCAGCACTTGCTGCAGATGAACTCGCCGCGTCCGTCCCGCTGCAGACCGCGGCGCAGCGCGTGAGACAGCAGCGCCTGCAGGTCGAGTTTGGCGGCCGGATGAAAGATCCATCGCCGCTGGTTTCCGCACAGCTCGCGCGCGCAGATGCGACACACCTCCTTCATTTACTCACTGGATCCTGAACCCCTGACACACGCAGCTGACCTTTGGTTCAAAAATAAAAAAAGAAAAGGATTTGTATTCCAACCAGTAACGGTCCTTCTGTCCTCATGTGGTTAAATCCAAGAAGTCTGAACATAAAATGATACTATAATATTTTAATATATTTAAGGTGAGATCAAAGACCACATAAACGTAGCGTAGTCACCATAGATGAGACGGTGCGGGTGTTTTCACAGATGACAGTCCACGAAAGCATCGTCGAGCTGATGCAGATCACATCGCGTCTGAAACACGACACAAACGCCGCCGTCCTCGATGCTCGCGCTCTGTGTCCTCCGTCAGCCTTCATCACCGGAGCAGACGAGAGCCGCCGCTACAGGCGCATCACAGCGCGACTCGGTGAGAAGCACGGCAGACTCTCCGGTGAGCCGCTGCGGTCGCGTGATGAGATGAAGATAAAAACCTGCAGCGCGGGCGTGAACCATCATCTCTCACAGGAGGGGCGCTTCAGTCACCGCAACGCGCTCCACACTAAACAACACACCGACTGGAACATGCTAAGCCGAGAAAAAGAACAGAAATCAGTGGAATATAATGTTTCCGGGATATTGTCCGTGTCGCTGGTCAGAATAGAGAGCAGTGAAGCGGGTCTGAGCGCGCGCACCCCTGCTGTCACCAATGAGGGAAACCATCAACTACAGCATCGCAATGATAAAGCTCTCAGTTCGCTTCATGCGAATGTCTTTCAGGAAGAAACATGTTGTTATATTAGTAGGAAGCATGTTTCCTGTTCTTATGTTTTGACAATCCACATTCATTTAAACTAATACTGCCTAATCAGGTCACTGCATTAATAATCAGCACTAACGAAGGCTGTTTGTGTCTTTACCTGCCAGTGCCAAAATGGCATAACTAGTGAAACATGTTGACCAATGACCTGACCCTAACCTTGACCCTTGACCCTGAGCATGACCTGTCAGCCACACATCCCTAAATCAGCCAAATCATGTTCTGCTTTAACCCTTTAAACCCCACAACAAAATCCTCAGTTTGAAATGAACACTTATAATGTGTCCACACTACAGAGTGAAGCGGTGCTGAACTTAATGAGATCATTCTGTGATTAATGAAGTGCTGATTGAGCGTTAGAGATGAACAGCTGCTGTTAACGAGCAGAATCACTGAAGAAAAGAGAAACACAACTGACTTCAGCCACAGCCTTAGATGATATCAACTGAAATAAAAGACATTAAATCTCTCAAGATCTGATTGAACAACTCCTAAAACAGCATCACCAGCTTCACATTACTAACCAGACTGCTGCTATTTCTCTCAGATGTGTACAGAAGTGCTTATTGAAAATTAACAGAGGTTTAGATGTTGTTTTGGGACACTATCATGATGGAGATCAGTGTTTGCTTTAGTTGGGATCTTGAACCTTAACTTTTTAACATTGTTTATATTTGGCTGCTTTAACCGTTGTGTTTTTCAGCACATTTGTTGTGGTAAAAAAGGGCCAAAACACAATATGTAATGCTGATGATTATGATTCGCAAATAATATTGCCGTCTTTAAAAAAACAGGTTCACTGATTTTGCCCAGAGTCTCTTTTTGTACCAAAGCGATGTTGCGGTAACATATTAGAACAAAAGAATAAGCAGGCTATTATGAAAGATCACAAACATCACTCCAAAAATAAAAAAAAGCTCTAATATGCTATGAAACACACACATGAAGAATCAGCGTATGAATCTCAACTACGGTGACAATCCAAAAAATGTATAAACAGATCGACTCTGAAAATCATAAAACACGCTACTAAAACTCAACACAAAAACAAAAGCAAAAATAAATGCACCTAGTAAGAATGAAAGAAAATTAGTGGACAATTCAGCGGCATAATTTATTCATGCCGCAATGCATGCTGGGAGTCATGGATGAGTTTTGTGCTGTGCTGGTACCCAGCATGCATTGCAGCATGAAGCTTTTGATTGTCACCATTGTTGGGATTCATACGCTGATTCTTGATGTCTCTGTCTGTCTAAGCGATGTCGTAGATTTAAAGCCTTGAACATAAGTTTTCAAAATCCATCATAATTGTCTATCATAATCTCAGCTTGCAGATTCATATAGCGAGCTTAAATAACATGACCCAAGTGAAAACCCACACTATAGTTTTACAAATCAGCCACTGAATAAGATCAGTGAACCAAGCCATGAAATGATTATAGCACCACCATCATCAATAATTAATCAGAGCCATTTAAGCATAATTTTTCTATGATTTTATTGTTATAACAGATGTGCTTTACAAACACAGTTACAACAACCAGAAAAGCTAACATTAAAAAGTGACGGGTCAAGAGCACAACTAAAGCAAACACTGATCGCCTCGATGGTGAGGTCAAACGAAACGTGTTCAATAAAACATCTAAACCTCTGTTTATTCTCAAATCATTTTTGTAGCTATATGACAGAAATAAAGTCAAACTGTAATGCTGTGTGTGGAGTTGTTTGATCGTGTGCTGCTGTCTTATTTCAGTTGATTTCACCTAAGTCTGTGGCTGAAGTCAGTTCTTGTGTTTCTCGTTTCTTCAGTGATTCTGCTCGTTAACAGCAGCTGTTCATCAGTGTCTGAATTCACTCATCAGTGTTCATTCTCTCTGTCAGGAGGACTGTATTAGTAAACTCATGCAGGGAATAGTGAATGAGGGTGTAGGGTGTGATTTGAAACACAGCCTCTGAGTGTCGAATCTCAACGCTGTTACTACGAGGACTGCAGAAGGCTACTTTCTCGAAAAGAACAAATATTACCC